TTGCCTGATCAAATTGCCAGCGTGGGTTACGAAGAGGTGGTGAATATGAAGGGTAAGAATGATTGGGAAATGAGCGCTGTCATGTAAATCCGGGAGAACAGACCAGGTGAAGTCTAATGCAGCGGAGGAAGAGCAGAGAGATCGATGCAAGACAGGAGGATCAAAATGGGTGCGAGTACCTGTATTTAAAACATGGAGGGGGTGGGTAGCAAGAAAAGTCTCCAACTGAATGCCACGGGAATCACAGCGAGACCCCCCCCCCCCCAGAGGAAATGATGGGCATTAAAAATCGCCAATAACGGAAGCGGTGGCTGTAATGACGAAACAAGAAAGGCAATATCCGGGATAGATAATGCCCGAGAGAGATACAAAGAACAGTTTATACCACCTATGCAAGTGGATACGAGCTGCTGTGTAATGCAGCGAAGTACGAACAAATAGCTGATGGTATGGAATATCAGTACATATAACTTTCATTGAAGGTCCCATCAGGAAAAGGACCTGAAGAATACAATAAACTATAGCCAGAGATGGGATAGATAACAGCAGTGTAATTTTGGTTCCTGTAAGCAAACACCAACAGGGGAAAACTGGGAGAGCAACATCTGAAGCTCGCCCCGATTACCCGAGGCCGCGAATATTCCACTGTAAATAGGCCATGATTGGCAACGATAAAGATACCTGAAATCCGCAGGTAAGGGTACCTACAGACTAGAAGGGTTAGAAAAGTCCACATGTGGTGGCAAAGGAAAACGTTCAAGTAGCGAAGGAACGGTGCGTTCCTTCGCTGCGCAGATGGAGAAGAGGAAAGAAGAAACAGAGGGTGGATCAGTGTCCAATGATGGTTTGGTCTGCAATATATTCAGAGATTGCTTCAAGTGTTTCGGAGTTCAGAGACGTCGTATGGGAGACAATACAGTGGACCCCCGGTATTCGATGCCATCGGTATTCGACAAATCCGGTCTTCGATGCATTTTAATGCAAAAAATTTTCCTCTGTATTTGATTGAAAACCCGGTATTCGATACGATTCGTACGAGACCTGTCCATGTGTGGCCTGAACTGCTCCGTGTGCACTAGCATTACAAGCCAGCCAGTGTGCGCGCATCTGAGGATTATTCAGTACATTCCATATTATCCATATTATCACTGTTTGGTGCTCGTTTCTGCAAAATTTAAATCACCATGGGCCCCAAGAAGCTTCTAGTGCCAACCCCTTTGAGAAAAAAAGTCGCTAATGACTTATGAAATGAAGAAAGAGATAATTGCAAAGTACGAAAGTGGAGTGCGTGTGTCTGAGCTGGTCAGGTTGTATAATAAACCCCAATCAACCATCTCTACTATAGTGACCAGGAAAACTGCAATCAAGAAGCTGTTCTTGCAAATGGTGCAACTGATCACAAAACAGGGACCGCAGGTGTTAGAAAATGTTGAGAGATTGTTACTGGTGTGGATAAATGAAAAACAGATAGCAGGAGATAGCATCTCTCAAGCGATTATTTGTGAAAAGGTTAGGCAGTTGCATGACGATTTGGTAAAGAAATTGCCTGCAACTAGTGGTGATAGTGAATTTAAGGCCAGCAAAAGTTGGTCTAAAAGATTTAAGAATCGTAGTGGCATACAGTGTGATTAGGCATGGTGAGGCTGCCAGTTATGTTGTGCGACAGAAGTCCAGTGACTCAAGCTGGTCCTAGTGGCATTAAAAGAAGGGAAGTAACCCTGGAAAAGAACTTGCTTCCTCAAGTCCTAATGGAATGGGATTCCCCTTCGAAACACTAACACCTCTCCCCTCCTCCCCTCCCATCATCATCACCAGATCTTCATTAAAGGTAAGTGTCAATTATTTTGTTATTGTAATTATTCTACTGCATTAAACTTAACATTTCACGTAGTAAAAACTTTTTGTACTTTTGGGTGTCTTGCACGGATTAATTTGATTTCCATTATTTCTTATGAGGAAAATTGATTCGGTATTCGACGAGCTCTCAGGAACGAATTAATATCTAATACCGGTGGTCCACTGTATTGGAGTGAAGATCGGAGCTGTAATGGACTGTACCAAGGTAGGGGCAAAAGGGTGGAGAGAACTGGAGAAGTGTGGGAAGGGACAGAAGAGGCAGAAACCCAGGAGGTGGCAGAAGAGGAATAAACTTGGGAGGGGACAGGGGAGGAAGGCACTGTGTGAGGAGGAGGATGAACCTCCACACACTTTTAACGAAGCCAGTGAAAGGGGAAGACCTAGGTACAGAGACCGGGACGGTAAAATGTGGAGGTGGATGAAGGGAAGGAGGGGTTAAAGGAGATTTGTTGGGCCTCTGGTAAGTAGAGGGATGATTGGGAGGTGTCGTACGAGGTCTTGTCAATACCGGGGTTTGCGAGAACACGAAGTGAGGACAGACCGAGGTGTTGAAGTAGGGACGTCTGAGCCCTTGACAGCAAAAGAATTAGATACAGGAGTATCTATGGGACTGGCAACCGCAAATGAGGCTGCAGAAGATGGGACCCCAGAAGTAGGGGGACGTTTTGAAACACGAGAATACTAAAACACAGGGTAGTCTCCCTTGGAGGCGGAGATGAGAAACTGCCATAGCATAAGGGAGATCTTCTGCCTCTGAGGCAACGAATTTCCCGCTCATTTAAGTAGACCTGGCAACGGCGAGAGTATGAAGGGCAAGCCTCATGATAATTAAGGCAAGAGGGAGGTCCACTATAGGATGTATTAGAATGGTCATCGGCACCACTGACTGGGCATTTGGCTATAGATCTGCAATATTTTGCTGGGTGGCCAAATCACCAGCAATTCCTACACTGTTGCAGTGTAGGAATCACCTTCTGAACTTGTAACCGATGTCCTGCTACATAAACAGATGGGAGTTCACGGCTGTCAAAAGTTAAACGAGCCACAATGCAAGGTTATCGCCTTCGCACGCGGGCGGGAAGAACACAAGTGTCTACCTTGAGAATTGGGAGATCTTGGAGTTCCAGCTGTTCGAGAATGTCATTGCCACATGTCTGGAAATTGTTGGACTATGGTATGGGCAGAAAAAACAGTACCACTGCAAGAATTGAGGGAATGATTTTGATAGTGATAGGAATAATATAGTTATGTGAAAGAAGACATGAGCTTGGGTAGAATTCTGGACTGTGATGATGTGCATACCACTCTTAAGAGCATGAAAGGAAATCTATACCAACATGGCATAGGAGTGCTTTGCCAAATACTATGGCCAGAAAGATAGGCAGTAGAAGAAGTCGGTCGTAAAGTAAAGAATTTAGTCCATTGTGTGGTCCGAAACAGCGTGGAGAGGGAGTGCATGACGTGTCAGTCTTTTCCGAGTAGAATGGGAAGGTAATGAAGTAACATCGTCAGGAGATTGTCGTTGGCGTTTAGAAGTGGGACCAGAGTTGGTCCAATGCGAGACGGGCTGGCGATTCTAAATAGTCACACCATAGGGGGAAAAGGCCGGGAAAAGCATAGTAAAAGGAGAGCAGAGGTCAGACAAATCGAAGGAGTCAGGGGAAGCCCCGTACCGCTTCGGGTACCGGGGCTTCCACTGACTCCTTCGATGTGAGGAATCGGTACCAGCAAGAGGTACAGGAGCCTTAAGAGTGTCCAAAAGACAGGCGGGGGTCAGAACAGGGTGCGGTAACAATAAGGGGCCCGGGGGTAGCGGGGTCACGTATTTGGGACTCCATGGTTAGGTTACTTTTCTTTTTGTTTAAGAAAAAAAATAAAAATAAAAACGAACAAAAAAAAAAAGGGGGGGGGGGGACCGGGGAGGGATGGTTCCTAGGAGGAATGAAAGGGCCAGAAATCTCCCTCCGCATCCAAGAGGACCTCAGCACCACAAGTAGCACAGATGCAGCATGGAACCCTTGCCATACCCTACCCTTCCTGCAAGTAAACCAACAATCCGGGATAGCAACCTCACATCTGCCGAGCTACCTCGGTGGACAAAAGAGGGCGGTCGGATATCCACCACAAAGCGTACCTCATTCGGCCACCACCCCCGGAATCTGAAAGGTGGCTTCCAGAGATACACTCGTCACCTGAAAGACACCCTCCGGGATACTGGAGAGGGATCGGGACATCCACAGGCAATCCAGATCCCACGGCCAACTACGCCACCGCCAAGAACCTCAACGGAATGGGATGGACCCCGGTACCCTTCCCTCTACCTATGAACTAGTGTGCCTGTGGGAAAAATCCCAAAGGCCAAATAAAGGAAGGGCAAAAGGGAGGGGTGGGGAGGAGGAAAGGAAAAAGGGGAGGATGGGATGGGGAATGGGGGGTAATTAGGTTCGGTCTAAGGAAGGAGACCGACAGGTCTAATTCCTCAGACCAAGAGCCTCTTCACCACGCCGAGCCCCCCCCCCCTTGAACAGGATTAGAATCGAGGAATACCCTGAAGATTACCTTGCTCAAGCCCACACACTGGAAACTGCATCAAGGCAAAAAATTGCTTCGTAGCCTTTCATTCTAGGAAACAAGTCATCTAGAAAGATTGTCTTTCTCAGGAAATTCATGAAAATGGGAACTGCAAGTTTTATCCCTTTGCAATGTGTCCATGGTGCTCCGATTCATCTTCAGAATTTTTTTGTAAATCTTAAAAATGTTTGGAAACAAGTTCCATCTATGCTTTGGAGGTTCCCCATTTGCTCAATAAATTAGAAAAAACCACTTAAGGTTTCATCAACTGCAACTTTGCAACATTTGAAATTTGGCATCCCTTACTGGGTGGGCCCCATAAATTTATTGGCATAAAGTTTCTGCAATTGAAGAAAAACTTAAGAAATTTATATAGGCTAATTTTGCTTACATTAAGATACTCTAAAGACATTTCAAATTTTACATTTTCCTAGGAGTGCCCAGTAAAGGGTTAAATTACATAATTTTTGTTTTTGTATTTGTATTTGGCTATTTCCTAGAGAGGCAAGTGAACATTCACTCATGTACATGAAGTAGCAATAAAGCAAACTTCAGAGTACCCTTCAAAATACAATATCCATCATCCTTCAAAATAAAAGCACTATCTCCAAACTATCTAGTTCTGCTGAATGTTCCCATGTCCACAGCCCATACAATACCAATAACTAACTTTCCCTCCAATCTATCAAACATGCCTGCTAGATGCTAAAGCCCTAACCTACTGAATTCTATTCACCTTTTACTCCAGTCTTCACTGGGATGCCTTTAGACTTCAATGCTTGGAATAAGCACTATTGCAATCCAAAATTCACAAACCACACTTTAGAAATATTTGTCAAGAAAGTTAAGAGAGAATGAAGTGAAAAAATTTAAGACCCCAAAATGGGTCAGAAAAGTAAAAAGTAATTTTGGGTTAAGTCACATCCTGAAGATTAAGTCTTATAAATTGTGTAAAAGTATTAGTCTATTAGAAATGTTTTAATATAGAAAATAAAATTTAACATTCCAACTATAATTGGACCACCCTGCTTTGGTGCACTATGACTGGTTTGTTGAAAGTTTACAGAGTATACTATATAGTGTATGATAAGGTTATTGAAAATTATAGATGTAAGGGAGAGCAGGATTGCAGATGAACGAGGCAGCTTTAGAAGGAGTAGATCATTTGTTTACACTGAAGCATCTACATGAACAATATTTAGATAAAAAGTAGAGGTTTTCATTGCATTTATGTATTTAGAAAAGCCATATAATAGGATGGATACGAGAGCAATGTGACATGTTGAAAGTGCATGGAATAGGTATTAAGTTACTAAATGCTGTATGTAAAGTATTTATGAAGATAGTGAGGCTGAGGTTAGGGTGTGTAGGAGGGCGATTACTTTCCAGTAAAAGAAGGCTTTAGGCAGGGATGTGTAGTGTCACCATGGATGATTAACATTTATAGATGGAGCTGTAAAAGTAGCAAACCCTAGGGTGTTGGGGAGAGGGATTAAATTTTGGGGAATTAAATACAAAATGAAAGGAGTTACTTCTTGCTGATGATACTGCACTTTGGGGAGATTCTAAAGAGAAGTTGTAAAGGTTAGTGGACGAGTTTAGGAGGGCGCGTAAAGAAAAAGTTGAAAGTGAACACAGTTATGAAGGCATCAAACTAGTTAGGTAAAGAAAAACTGGATGTGAGGATGAAGCAAGTCTTCAGATATTTGGAGTAGATTTGTAAGCAAATGTGTTGGTTTATGAAGGATGATGTTAACCATAGAATTTATGAAGGGGGAAAAAAAGGAGGGGTGTTAATGTTGCAGTTTAAAAACTGTAGTGTAAAGCACCCTTCTGGCAAGACAGTGATGAAGCGAATGATGGTGAAAGTTTTTCTTTTTCGGGCCACCCTGCCTTGGTGGGAATCGGCCAGTGTGATGATAAAAAAAAAATAAAAAAAAAAAAAAAAGTGCCCTGAGGTATCTGGTGAGAAAGAAAAAGGAGGGGAATAGGAAGAGATCATTTATCCCCAGGATTACTAGTATGGAACACATTCGTACAGCATTATGTCAACGAGAGTCGGTTGATCAGATGAAAATGCTGGCCCCACAGATGGCTCCAACTTCATCCTGTTCCCTACTTTTGTCATAATACAAATGCTTTCAAATGAGCTGATGTAGGTAACAGTTCTTAGCTTGTCAAAGCTAGGGATCCTTAACCTAACCTTGTCAAACCCTCAGGGAGGGTGGTATAGAGAAACAGAAAAACAAAGAAAGAAAAAGACTAAATGTACAAGATTATAGTGCTACCAACACTTGTGGATGTGAAGCATGGGTTGTGAATGCTGCAGTGCAAAAGGGGCTGCAGACAACGGAGATGTGTAAGGCCAACATGTGGTGTAAATATTATGCAAAGAATTTGTGGAAATTTAGAGGTGTGGAGTTCCTACAAGTATTATTCAGAGGGCTGAAGAGGAGTTATCGAGATGAATTGATCATTTAGAGAGGTGGAGTAGTATAAATCTGTAGGAGGGGAGGGGGGAGGTAATTATCAAAAGCACAAAAACCACAAGGTCATAGAGCACAGATACAGAAAAAATAAGGGGGCAGGGGGGAGGGGGTATGGGCAAGGGGCCTGGATATGCAGCAGGCATATGAGCATAAGATTGTTGTGAATGGAGACTTAATGGCTTTTGAGACTGGACAAGCTGTTGAAGTGTGAACAGGGTAATATTTTGTGAAGAGATTCAGGGAAACCAGTTAGCCAGATTATTAATACTGTAATCAAGAAATTACAAACCTACAAGGGTCTAGCCAGACTCGAGTCCTGGAGGTTGGAAGTACAATGCCTGCATGTTGAAGGAGGGGTTTGGGATATCAGCTGTTCAGAGCGACATCTACGCCATAATATCTGGGCACCTCTGCAAAGACGGCAATAGTGTGAATAATGGTCACCCTGCCTCAGTAGGATAAGGATAAGTTTATACTGTACTGGTAAGTACAGCATTACAGCATGAACAAAAAGCAAAACCTCTCATAACATTCAGCCATTCAAAAACTAGACAAAACACTGGAAGCAACAAACTGGTTGTCTGAAGCATAATACTTCAATGACTTGCCAGAGCAGCCATGTCAGGGACATGCATTTTCATTGTTCCCCCCATGTTGTAGGCATTTCATGCCAATTTGTCAGGAATCAGCAGTATCTAGTACCCTCTTAACCAGAGTCAGGAGTCACTATCCAATTCTTGATATTTCTACTGCAATGACTCATATGTAGACAACTGCTATTTCATATCTTACGGATGTACTAACAGTGATGCTTAAAAGACAGCCTCTCCTCACTTAATGGAGTTCCGTTCATAATACCGTGTCGCTAAACGAGGAGCATAGTATAGTGGTAGTGGGTTTATGGCAACCATCTTTCATAGTGCTTTAATGTCGCCCTTGCACCATTTATAATATTCAGTATGTTTTTAAATTTTTATACAGTAGTGTACCATATGCTGTAAAACAGAATAGAAAGAATCATATCTTGCTATACACTTGGGTATGCATTACTGGTCAGCCTGTCAAGTCTAAGTCGTTTGTAAATAGTACATTGCGAGGAGCAGCTGTATAGTATGTTTTCATAAATTTTTTATCTAAGCCTCAAACTTTTACCTCAAGTCTGCTTGGTTGACAACCCAGGGGCACTGCAAAGAAAATCAGAACATTAAACATCTACAATTGGAAAATTTAAATGCCCCATAAACAATCTTATCAGAAAATGAATCGTCAAAACCATTACGACGGGGGCATTCTTTTCATCATTGAAACTTCCTTGTTCATGTTAATTATTGCACAGATCAAATTATAAATAGGTATGCAAACCTGCTAAAATGTGATGTGACTAACCTATAAACACAAGTCAAAACAAGAAAACAATGAAAACTGCTTAATATTCCTTCACATGCTTTTATGCATGTACTTTAATAACCAAGCCTATCATGGAAAGCACTAAATCACAAATAGTGCCATTGCTTTGCTAGTGGAGGGACATTCCATGCATGGTTTTAAGAAACCATAGGGCTCAAGGCTAGGAGGGAGAAAAACTGGAAGCTGAGGGGGGGGACTCCCCCCAAGAGTTTACTCCCCCCTCCCTTGCAACCACAAAGTAAAAAATGAAAATCTATTATCCCAACTAGGTGCAGGAACAAAATTAAAATCATAATCTAACCTTCCATTTAACTGGGCCAGACAAGAGGAAAGCTTGCAGTCAGACCTGCTAAAGTAAAAAATTAATTAGAACATTCAATCACAAAATATTTATTTTTAAATCTAAATAATTCAGTTTTGGCATATTTCATGTATATCAAATAATGTAGGTATAAAGCATCATGATTATTCATTATTAGACAATACAGTGGAACCTCTCTGTATTCCCTAGTCTGCATGTGAAACTACATTTCTTCTCTATAAAATTTATTTTTTGTTAATATTTCCATAAAGTTATGTAAACCCAATTAATCCATTTCAGACACCCAAAAATATTAAACAAAAAATACATTTTATAGAGAATATCTAGTTTTACATACAGACTAGGGCATATGAAAACAGGTTCTGTCATACTTAGGAACGAAGACTAGTTAGGTATTCCTGACCATAAGTAGAGCACTTTCTGTAGAGATTACGGCAATTAACCAGAAGGAACATTCACTATTTAACGAAACTCCAATAACCACAATTCAAATTACCCATTAAGTTGCAACATTGCATACCCATCCCTAAAAATACAAACACTAAGCCCAATCTCCTGAACTCAGTCTAGGCAGTTTCTGAATGCTACCTTGTACAAATACAAACAGCACATTCTATACCAAACACCACTTCTCTCCATACCTTTCCCTATCTGCTAATCCCCTCCTGAGTGCATGAATGTACAGGTACACCAATTTTCCGGCATCCCAGGTTCCAAAGTTATGTTGAACCAACAGTGATCAACACTAACACACTAAGTACACACTTCCCGTATGTCTAAAACTCCATGGACTTAAAACCTTAAATTGAAGAAATTGATTTTTTTTTAATTAATATACATTTAAGAAAATTTATTAATCAATCTGGAAGTCGAGAGTAACATACTGAAACACCACATTGCAGTTTTTCCTAACAGTTCAACTGTTTCTTTAATCTATATTGACTGGTTTAGGCTTAACACTACCAATGACACTTTCATCTCTGAAGCCATAACTAGATTAAATTTAAGCAAAATAAGGTCACAAAAGTGAGGTAACACCAGCAAGTGCAGTGTACAAACAACCTACATAAACACAGCTACACAAAGCCATGTGGGAAGCCCAGTAAATTGGTCTGACAGGTGCAGGAATTTAAAGTTCCTGCTTGTCATTTTCTCCAGACTAAAGGTATTGGACCATCCACTGCCAGAAAATCTTATGTACATATATTTGAATGTGCAAGTTTCTCCCTCAATGCCAGGATGTCTTCCTCCAGGTTTCTCCCCCTCTTCATCCCTGTATCCCCCTCCCTTCCATCACTCCCCTAAAACACACCTGCAGGAAACTAAAATTACCTTCACCCCACTTTATTAGCATAAATTAATTTTAAGAATTTTGCACTTTAAAATAGCCTTATAAATATTTACCTCCAAATACTTCTTAGTTGACAGCCCAAGAGCACTGCAAAGAAAATTGGCATATCAGACATCTACATTTAGAGAATTTAATCTACTGTACTGTAAACAGGTTAATCAGAAGTCGAATCGTCAATAACATTACGACTGGGGCGGTAAGTGTCATCACAAAATTCATTTTTTCAGTTTTGCATAGAGCAAACAGTAAGGCAATTTGGTTCAGTACAAAGGCAAGGGAAGGAAAATTAAAGCGTCATGAACCAAGGCACATCCCTAAAGTATCCTGGTTTCTAAAAATTAATTTTAATAAGAATTTAGATTCAACAATACTGAACAAAACCAATTAACAATGGCTACTAACAGCCAGTTCAATACTGGCCTAGCAGAACTAAAGGAAGCTAATTCAATGCTACACAACACTTTGAAAATAAAATTTCAAATGTTTACCTGATCATGTGGTGGCTGCTCTGCATTTCACAATCCATTTTCTGCAATGCCCCTCTTGAGATCTGTTAAGAAAGTATGGCCTTAAGTCTACTAGCAACTGAAAATGCAGCACTTAACAAAACCTTTTATTAATACAATGTTTTACCAAGCGGAGAGCTGTACATTTTAAGCATATGCTAATGTTGGGACAGGCTACGGCAATAAGAAATTCTGATAGTGCACCTCTTGGTTAACAACTGGTTTTCACTACATTCACAAGTTAATCATATAATCATGGGAACTGCTAGACCATTAAGAGTGCTTGGGGAATGGAAGGCAATAAGGTTCTAACAACCACTAGCATGAGAGCACCTAAGGTTAAGAGCATGTAGACTAAGGAATGAGAGAGAATAATTCATCCCTCATATTTGCTCCATGAATTACCTTTTGATTTTTTTTTTTTCCAACAAGTCGGCCGTCTCCCACCGAGGCAGGTTGAGCCAAAAAAGAAAAAAATCCCCAAAAAGAAAATACTTTTATCATCATTCAACACTCGCCACACTCACATTATCACTGTTTTTGCAGAGGTGCTCAGAATACAACAGTTTAGAAGCATACACAAAGATACACAACATATCCCTCCAAACTGCCAATATCCCAAACCCCTCCTTTAAAGTGCAGGCATTGTACTTCCCATTTCCAAGACTCAAGTCCGACTATACGAAAATAACCTGTTTCCCTGAATCCCTTCACTAAATATTACCCTGCTCACACTCCAACAGATCGTCAGGTTCCAAGTACCATTCGTCTCCATTCACTCCTAACACTCACGCACGCTTGCTGGAAGTCCAAGCCCCTTGCCCACAAAACCTCCTTTACCCCCTCTCTCCAACCCTTTCGAGGACGACCCCTACCCCACCTTCCTTCCCCTATAGATTTATATGCTTTCCATGTCATTCTACTTTGATCCATTTTCTCTAAATGACCAAACCACCTCAACCCTTCTGCTTTCTGACTAATACTTTTATTAACTCCACACCTTTTCCTAATTTCCACACTCCGAATTTTCTGCATATTTACACCACACATTGCCCTTAAACAGGACATCTCCACTGCCTCCAACCGTCTCCTCGCTGCTGCATTTACCACCCAAGCTTCACACCCATATAAGAGTGTTGGTACTGGTACTACTATACTTCCATACATTCCCTTCTTTGCCTCCATAGATAGAGTTTTTTTGACTCCACATATACCTCAATGCACCACTCGCCTTTTTTCCCCTCATCAATTCTATGATTAACCTCATCCTTCATAAATCCATCCGCCGACACGTCAACTCCCAAGTATCTGAAAACATTCACTTCTTCAATACTCCTCCTCCCCAATTTGATATCCAATTTTTCTTTATCTAAATCATTTGATACCCTCATCACCTTACTCTTTTCTATGTTCACTTTCAACTTTCTACCTTTACACACATTCCCAAACTCGTCCACTAACCTCCGCAATTTTTCTTTAGAATCTCCCATAAGCACAGTATCATCAGCAAAAAGTGTCAATTCCCATTTTGAATTTTATTCCCCAAAATTTAATCCCACCCCTCTCCCGAACACCCTAGCATTTACTTCCTTTACAACCCCATCTATAAATATATTAAACAACCATGGTGACATTACACATCCCTGTCTAAGACCTACTTTTACCGGGTAGTCTCCCTCTCTTCTACACCCTAACCTGAGCCTCGCTATCCTCATAAAAACTCTTTACAGCATTTAATAACATACCACCTACTCCATATACTTGCAACATCTGCCACATTGCTCCTCTATCCACTATCATATGCCTTTTCTAAATCCATAAATGCAATAAAAACTTCCCTACCTTTATCTAAATACTGTTCACATGTATGCTTCAATGTAAACACATCCCCTACCCACTCTGAAACCTCCTTGCTCATCTGCAATCCTACATTCTGTCTTGCCTCTAATTCTTTCAATTATAACCCTACCGTACACTTTTCCTGTATACTCTGTAAAAATTATAGAGGAATAAGTTTACTGTCTCTTTCGTCCCCTTTCCCTTTGTATAAAGGGACTATACATGCTCTCCGCCAATCACTAGGTACCTTCCCCTCTTTCATACATTTATTAAACAAAAGTACCAACCACTCCAACACTATATACCCCCCTGCTTTTAACATTTCTGTCATGATCCCATCAGTTCCAGCTGCTTTACCCCCTTTCATTCTACGTAATGCCTCACGTACCTCCCCCACACTTGCATTCTGCTCTTCTTCACTCCTAAAAGATGGTATACCTCCCTGACCAGTGCATGAAATTACCGCTTCTCTTTCTTCCTTAACATTTAAAAGTTCCTCAAAATATTCTTGCCATCTACCTAATACCTCCATCTCCCCATCTACTAACTCCCCTACTCTGTTTTTAACTGACAAATCCATACTTTCCCTAGGCTTTAACTAACTCCAAATTTTTTTTTTCATAAAAATTTCTTGACAGTGCCTCTCCCGCTATCATCTGCTCTCCTTTTGCACTCTCTCACCACTCTTTACCTTTCTTTTACTCTCCATATACTCTGCTCTTCTTATAACACTTCTGCTTTGTAAAAACCTCTCAAGCTACCTTTTTCTCTTTTATCACACCCTTTACTTCATCATTCCACCAATCACTCCTCTTTCCTCCTGCCCCCACCCTCCTATAACCACAAACAAATCAAATCGTAAGTATATTGCTTTATATTATTATTTGACTTGGTTACTTTTATTTAGGTAGGATGTAACATATGTGCTCAAAGGTCAAGTCTTGATTGTTTAACTACTGCAATTATCGCTCATTGCTCGTTACTCTGTCGGCTTCTGTTGCTGGGCAGCAGCTGTCCACAGAGCTATCACGAGATCGAGGGGGGGGGTGTTCTCACCTCGCCTGAAGTATTCAGTCTGGTCTAGACTCTTGGTGGTTGGGCGTATTTCTGACAAGTGCCTAAATCTCCCTCATTGGCCCTTGTTGGAAGATAGTCTATTGTCTCATTGTTGTTAGTTTTGGAGAGACTGTTCACAGAACACTGTAGAGACTTACTGATTTTCAACGTTGTACCGAGGTTGTGTCGCAAAGAGACACTGAGCAACTCAGGTCCTGAGCTGTAGCTTCTGACCTAATTTGTACTGGTTTCTGTGTATTGTCATAGTCGGGGATTTTCTTATGCTGAACTTAGATTCAGTAGTATGGGAGTTTGGCAACTTTTGTGGAGGATCTGCAGATGGTCCCTACTTAGTGTCCTTATATTATCTCCTTGATTGTGTTGCAGTCGCTTGTTATATTGCTATTGGGCTTAGCATTCTTTTTATTGTTCAAGCAGACTGTTCTGGTTGCCAGTCGGTCAAGAAGTTAGTTTATGCGAGGACTTCGTTAGTCACTTGTTTAAGTCTAGTCAAGTCGTGAGACAAAGAAATACTTAGAGCACTTACACAATTACTTTTACATGTTTGTAATATCTTATTAAATGTTAATGTACCAGACGGTACTTAAGAATTATAAATGTGATGTGCTTTCAGCACAATAATATTGTACACGAGAGAAGTGATTAATATTTTGATTACTGTGATTAATTTAATTTGATATACACCTAGACAAATTAATAAATGTATTAAATTTTATTTTCTCTAGTTAGTAGCCTACCAGTTGTAATCCTGAAGCACTATTGAATCGTACCGAATTCTAATGGATAATTGGACAAGGATACTGACTAATTCTTACGAAAACCCAGTAACAGGCTGGATGCTAGAAGGGCAGTATTCACTGGAGATCAAAGTTTTTTAGAATCGCATTTTTTGTAACATCTCCATACCTTTCCCTATCTGCTAATCCCCTCCTGAGTGCACGAATGTACAGGTACACCACCAATTTTCCGGCATCCCAGGTTCCCAAGTTTTGTTGAACCAACAGTGATCAAACACTAACTCACTAAGTACACACTTCCCATATGTCTAAAGCACCATGGACTTAAAACCTTAAATTGAAGAAATTGAAATTTTTTTATTTAATTAATATACATTTCAGGAGATATATTAATCAATCAATCTGGAAGTCGAGAGTAACGTACTGAAACGCCACATTCCAGTTTTTCCTGTACTGAAATGCCACATTGCAGTTTTTCCTAACAGTTGAACTGTTTCTATATTGACTGGTTTAGGCTTAACACTACCAATGACACTCATCTCTTAGAAGCCATAGCTAGGATTAAATTTAAGCAAAATAAGCTCACAAAAGTGAGGTACCACCAGCAAGTGCAGTGTACAAACAACCTACATAAGCACAGCTACACAAAGCCATTTCTGGGAAGCCCAGTAAATTGGTCTGACAGGTGCAGGAATTTAAAGTTCCTGCTTGTCATTTTGTCTAGACTAAAAGTTTTTTTTTTTTATTATTTAAGGAAACAGTATACAATCTACATGTTATACATTACTGAACTAAACCAGTTAGCAATTGCTACTAACAGCCAGTTCAATACTGGCCTAACAGAACTAAAGGAAGCTAATTCAATGCTTAACAACATTTTGAAAATAAAATTTTAAATGTTTACCTGATCATGTGGTGGTTGCTCTGCATTTCACAATCTATTTTCTGCAATGCCCCTCTTGAGATCTGTCAAGAAAGTATGGCCTTAAGTTTACTCTACTAGCAACTGAAAATGCAGCACTTGACAAAACCTTTTATTAATACAATGTTTTACCAAGCGGAGAGCTGTACGTTTTAAGCATATGCTAATGTTGGGACAGGCTACGGCAATAAGAAATTCTGATAGTGCACCTCTTTGTTAACGAATGGTTTTCACTCCATTCACAAGTTAATCATATAATCATGGGAACTGCTAGACCATTAAGAGTGCTTGGGGAATGGAAGGCAATAAGGTTCTAACAACCACTAGCATGAGAGCACCTAAGGTTAAGAGCATGTAGACTAAGGAATGAGAGTAAGAAAATTCTACATTTACACACCTAAGTAATGAAAGAAATACTGTACTGCATTTAAATTCCACCCTCCCTTATATGATAAACAGTTCCAGAATCTGCCAACATGGGGAAAAAGAATTTACCTTGTTTGATATTCAGTCCAATGATAAAACCTGCAAAGAAGCACTAAATTAATATATGCTTTTAAATAGTATATAAAAGTGCCATAATTCATACAATCAGCAAGACTAATCAAAGTCGTCAACATAGTTACGATAAAAGCAAAAATTTGTCATCATGTACACTGACAATTTATCATTAACCAATGCCAAAATTCAATTTTCTTAAAATTTTTATACATTTAAATGACCTGAATTACCACACCAGACAACAGCAACAAAACCTTTCCCTATTACAAAATACAGTGGAACCTTGAGTTACAAGTGCCCCTAACATCAGTTTTTCGAGTTAGAAGCTGTTTGGTCAATTTTTTTCCAGTTATGAGAGCTTTAGAACACCGCCACTAGTTGGCACCACGAATGCCACAGCTCAACAGTGCACGTGTTAACCTGACTCAAGAAATCGTAATGACACGATTGCAAACAAACCATACCCCCGGCCGGGATTGAACCCGCGATCATAGTCTCAAAACTCCAGCCCGTCGCGTTAGCCACTAGACCAGCTAGCCACAATAAGATTCATCCAACTAGGTATATTTCTACACCATAGGAAGGTTAGTATTTGTGGTCAGTGGTGCCTGTGCTAACCTTCCTATGGTGTAGAAATATACCTAGTTGGATGAATCTTATTGTGGCTAGCTGGTCTAGTGGCTAACGCGACGGGCTGGAGTTTTGAGACTATGATCGCGGGTTCAATCCCAGCCGGGGGTATGGCACGTGTTAACCTTACTGTGGAAGCATTTTTCTGGTGTTGTGCTGTAGTTTCGTGGAGCTATTTTGCCAAATTTCTCTTTTCTAACAATGGGTCCTAAGAAAGGAAGTGCAAAGGACAGTGCCAAGAAGAAAGATGATATCCAATGAATTAAAGAATGAAATCCTAAACATTTGCGAGGTGTGGGGGTTGTGGACTTCGCCGGGCAGTACCAGCATAGTACATACTTTTACGATATGTACAATACTAAAGCAGAAAGAGTTGATAAAGGCTATAGCGCCAGCCAAGGAAGTTACAATAATGCAAGTCCAACGATAAAGTGTAGCATTAAGAGTAGCAGGAAGCCTATCTTTTCCACTCTCCACCTCCGGCAGAATCTGTTCTCCAAGTTAAATACGTACACTTCATAAAACCAGCATTTCTTTACATTCTCCATTATGTTTGTTTTCATACAATATTTCTTATTCATAAATACAGTTTTAGTGTTGTGCTTATGAAACTAGGGATCTAGTGCAGTTAGCCTCACAAGTACTCAGTTTTCAGAGGGGGAAGAATGGGAAGATATGGGCAGAGTGGGAGTGGCCACCACCACTTCACATAATGACATTTTATTCAGAGTATATATCATGTTATATTTTTTGTCATATTAAGAGCGATTTTGATAAACTGTAGAGTTGACAGTGTTCTACTGATTTTCTGCCTCCCAAAAGCAGGAATTATGCAGCAATGGATTAATGGCATTTAAATTAATTTCAATGAGGAAAATTGATCTGATATACGAGCTAGCTCACGGAACAGATAAAACCAAGTCAAGGTACCACTGTAGTTTCAAATGCTAAGCTTAGAGCTGCACTCAAATTTATAACGAACTAATGTTTAGCTACCTGATCAGCAGCAAGTCCTCTGTCTTGCACTTCTCATTCCACTACTGCACCTAGGAAACCAATATTACAAACAGTATATACTGAAACATTGTTCTGTAAAATACCCTAAGATAATGTTTCAGTTATTGTGTTGTAACCAATGAGTGTATATTTGAACAATGCACCTTTGGTCTCACAGGCCACACAAGTTACTTAGAAAAGAAAAATATTGGAAAACACAAGAAACCTTCGAATTGGAGTAAATAAAGGAATACTGGGTGGGTGGCATTCACCGCTGCTGCCATACGCCACTCATTTTCTGCCAACTTTGCGCCTATCTCGATAAGTACTGATGGCAAAAAAAATTTTTTAGGCTTAAAACACTAAAATGAGTTTCAGAAAGGGGCCTGCAACAGTCAAAGGGTTAACCACCTGCTAACAAATTGCACTAATTATCTGAACACCACCTCGATACCCAAACTCTCCTAATCTGACATCCCTCTTGCATACTCTCTCAAATTCTTTTACTAATCTCTGCAACCTCCCCCTCTCCCAGCCATATCCATCTCTCCAAATACAAACAAATTTTTAGGCAGATACTGATATCAAAATTAGAAGACGACCAATCCTGATAGTGAACACTAGGATGTTGAGGTGTGGGACTGACAGGGAATTACATCTTTCATTTTATATAGAGTAAATTACCCATTTGTGGAGGAAAAAAAAAAAAATAAACTTACCACTGATAAGGATATTAACTTGTCCCAGTGATGCAACATCATTACCTGTTGAAGAAATTATTTTAATTACAATTTCCTTCCAAATCTTACAGTAACTTCCCTCAAAATTAAGCCATGTCACCCTTCGACAGGTTCACAAAAAGATAATCTTAGTGTGAGTTTTTAAGGGTCCATTCTCTGCCCCAAATTTAAGCAACCACCAAAATAAGAGTAACTTCAGTGATGGATTGTAAGGGGAAAATGCAGCCTTGAGACCCTGCCCCCCCCCACTTCAAAAAAAAAATCTGTCCAGTACAGTATGAAGAATTATTTGTATTTAAGTAACCCCCCCCCAACTGGATAACACTGATGTCAGCAGTTGAACAGTGGTACACGAAGAGGCCTACTGGCCCAAGCTAAGCAGGTCTACTGCTTTCCTTTATCTACATTCTTCCAACTGTAATCTATTGTTCAATGTATTGTCCTTAGCATTTTCAACACCTATTCCATTTATACATTTCATCCATTCCCCCCCCCCCTTCATTCTACATCATTCCAAAAATGCGTATTCTTATCTTCATAGGAAAGACTCCTAGTTTAGAAAGATGCTCAAGTAAATATGTACTAGGACATTAGAAAATGTTCTGATCCTGGGACTTATCACTTCTAACGTGCAGAGGCTAAAAAGTTTATATAGGCGGAGAGAGGTGCGAGTGATGAACAGTGACCTGAAGAATGCCATATTGGGATGAGGACAGGTAGATATAGGAGTCACATGATCACATTCTCTCCTTGTCCTCATCCCAATATGGCATTCTTCAGGTCACCATGCATTACTTGTACTCGCTCTCTGCCTATAAACTGCTTTTTTAAACTGTACGTTAGAAGTGATAAAAAGTCCCAGGATCAAAACTAATCAAGTTCTAGTGTTTCCTTAGGTGCTTTTCTAATCCATTTCAAGATTTGTACAAGCCACAAGTTTTTTTTTTTGCAAATTGCTAGAGGTAGAATGAAAGTGCTTACAGTGATGCAGCCAATCCCTTCCATACACCTCAGTGTATGGGGACCAAGAGGTCCATAAATGGAAAACAGGAATAAAGTATATGTAAATAACATGCTAAAATTATCTAATCAAGACAGGACTCTCAGCAAGGTTAAAGTTGGAAAAACTTAGATTTATAAAGAATATAGGAAAGCACTGGTTTGGCAATAGAGGTGTGGAAGAGTGGAACTAAATGTCACTGAAGCTAAAAATTTTAGAGTTTTAAGAATAGATTGGACAAATGAGTGGGTGTGAATTTTACCCGACTATTGTTAAAAATGGTATAAAATGCCGACAAGCTGAAAATTAAGACTTGCAACAGTTGGGTATCCTTATGGATGAAATGATGGACTGATTACGTGTATTTCATTACTGCTGCTCCCTCTGTATTTGACAGAAGCCTAGTGTAGGCAAAATATTACGTCAATAAAGATACCCAATTGACACACGAGAAACATTGCAGAAGGGTTACTGGACCATGAAATGCAGGTCCAAGTCACCTATTGGCTTGAGCCACTGACCGAACCTAGACAGGCAAGGTCATATCCACTGGTGTATTTAACCTATTTTTAAAACTAAAACATTTTAGCTTTATTGACCGTACTCAGGAGTTTGTTCCACTCGTCCACATCTATCATCAAACCAGCACTTTCCTATATCCTTCCTGAATCTAAATATTTCCAGCTTTGAACCACTGCTGCGAGTCCTGTCTTACCTAGATGTTTTTAGAACATTTACATTCCCTTTATTCCTGTCTTCCCGCTTATACACTTTAATCAAGACCCCCCCTAATTCTATGCCACGTCTATCAGAAATTCTGAAATTCAAAAAGTTTTGAAAACCGAAGTTTCTTCGTGGAGTATGGTGCTGGGTCACACTGCCATATGGCAGCATTGAGAATCATTCTGAACTTTCAAAAATCCTGAAATTCAAAACAATACCAGCCCCAAGGGTTTTGGATAAAGGGACGTGGACCTGTACATGGGATCAACTGTCATCCTTTCTACGTTTTCTGGTGCATTTGTATCTTCTGTAATACGGTAACTAGAATGGTGCAGCATAATCTAAACGAGTTGAAGAACTTGAGGACTTCTTATTTATGCTTCTTGATATGAACCAATGATTCTGTGTATTATTGCAATCATTTATGCACTGTTGTCCTGTTTTAAATTACTGCTAACCAGAAGTCTCAAACCTTATTTCAGTCAGTAATATTAAGATCCACATTTAGTTTATGTGGCATGGTTATTTTCCTGTCCAATGTTTAGAACTTGGCATTTGTCTATATTAAACTGCATCTACCACTTCTCCAACCACTATCATCCTATTCAAGTTTTCCTGGAGTGCTCTAATGTCTCCATGAGAATGAATTAAGCAGCCTATTTTGGTGTCATCAGGAAACTTGCTTGTGTTGGTATGTATTCCCTCATCCATGTAGTTTATGTAAATTTAACAAAGGGCCCCAACACCGACCCCTGTGGAACACCACTTGTTATGTACCTCCACTGATTACTTCCCATTTATGCAAACTGCTATCCATTTGTCAGCCATGCCTCTCCTCTAATATGGAACTATCAAAGCCTTACTGAAGTCCATATACACTATATTCATTACCATTATCTACCTCCTCAAATACCTTAGTGACAAAAAGGTAAATTCGTAAGGCAGGAACTCCTTAGTAAAACTGCCGAGATTTATAAATCACTACGCCGCACAAGAGGGCTACGAATTGCCTTGGCAATTGATTCCATAAATTTCCCCTACTATGGAGGTATTGGTCTATTGGTTAGGGTCACAAGTGACATGGTCCTTTAGACAAATAGATAAATTAAAACCTAACAAATCACAGAGCCCTGATGAACTGTATGCAAGGGTTCTAAAAGAATGTAGAGGAGCTTAGCAAACCTTTGGCTAATGTTTTCAAAATATCACTACAAACTGGCATAGTGCTGGTAAGTGGAAAATGGCAAATGTGATACATATTTTTAAATCGGGTGACATGTCCTTTGCTTTGAACTGTAGACCAGTAAGCCTAACCTCCAGTGGGAAAATTTATGGAATCAATTGCAGAGGCAATTCATAGCCATCTTGAAAAGCATAAATTTATCAAGGATTCTCAGATTCACAAAAGGGTGTTCCTGCCTTATGAATTTATTACCTTATTTCACTAAGGAATTCGAGGTAGATCATGATAATGAATGTGATACATATATGGACTTCAGTAAGGCATTTGATAGTTCCAGATCAGAGGCTATCGAGGAAAATTAAGGCACAGAATTGGTAAAAAAAATTTCCTTAATAGAGGCACGGTTGACAGATAGGCAGCAGTTTTTTGCATAAATGGGGTTCAGAAATCAGTGGGGAAGTGTCAAACTATTCGACAGGGGTCAGTCTTGGGTCCCTTCTTCACTATCTACACGACAGACAAGGGAGTAAATAGTGACATAAGCAACTTTGCCGACACCAAAATTGGCCTTCAAATTCATTCTGATGAGGACATGGGAGCACTCCAGGAAGATTTGAATAGACTAATGCAGTGGTTGGAGAAGTGGCAGATGCAGTTTAATACAGTGGTACCTTAGTTCACAAACTCCCCATCATGCAAACTTTTCAGGATACGAACCGTCTTTTGGTCAATTTCTTTTGCTTCTGGATACAAACCTCCCCCTCAAGGGAGGTTCCTTAAATAAAAATATTTGTTTCTTTGCAAAGGTTACAATGTGCATTTACATATATGACTGGAGTAAAGAGCCACTACTTAAGTCTAGACAAGAAGTTTACTAGTAGTGGTTACCAATGTTTTGCTGATGGTGGCGCCAACTACTGGCAGCCTTTTCAAGTTTCTCCTATCTGTTATTATATTACGTGTTATGATTACTACTACAGTGTATTAATTACAATTATTATTAGTATGTACGTGGTGATGGGCTCTTGATCTAAGGAATTGGATCCGTGCTCCAGTTCCCTAAATTAATAATACGCATATATCAACCCATAAACGGTCCAAACGTATATATACGTTCTCTACCGTAGTGCCCCAACAAAAAAAACAAATTTCAAATTTGTGCCAAATGCTTCAAAATAGAAGTTGGTAACCCTCTGGGTGGCTGTAGGTACAGCTGCGACGACCACGGCTATCTCAAGTGCCAACCACGGGTCAAAAGGAAGACGAGGCGCGCCACTGAGTGACCGCAGCAGACCCTCGGGATACGTAATTTTGTCTTTTTGTCAAGACAAATTTCTACATCAAAGAACCGAAGCATTTGCTGCCCAAAGACAGTATAGTTGCATACCATCGCCATGAAGCTCAGCAAGCAATACAAAACTATAAAAAAAGCTAGAGTAACACCATACAAGGCCAGCCTGCTAGTTGTGGGGTGCAGCTGGCTGCCGTGTCGCCACTGTGATCCATGTCTTCGCTCTATACATACATACTCTGTCTGTCCTGTTCTGTCTGTCTGTCGTTCTGTCCTGTGTCTTGTGGTTTTTTTTGTCTGTCTGTCTGTCTGTGTCTTGTCTGTGTGTCTGTCTGTCCTGTGTCTGTCTTGTCTGTTCTGTCTGTCTGTGTCTGTCTTGACCACACCTGTGGTTACACGTGACAACCTCACCACTAATCACAGATAAACAAGCTAGGTGTGGAGTTATGGATTGGGAAGATACTAGAGTGGGAGAGCAAACAGAGGATGCTTTCTGCCTTTGCCGGTGTCACCATCACTTGCCATATTATGGCCTATTTTATTCATTCTACAGTATATACATCATGTTTATGGTATTAATATTGTTTATGTCACATTAGATGAACTGCAATAGATAACTAAGCCATAGAGTTGATCATTATTTTGTCATGCCTACTGCAAGTTAATAAAAGTATTAGTCAGAGAGCAGAAGGGTTGTTGAGGTGGTTTGGTCATTTAGAGAGAATGGATCAAAGTAGAATGACATGGAAAGCATATAAATCTATAGGGGAAGGAAGGCGGAGTAGGGGTCGTTCTCGAAAGGGTTGGAGAGAGGGGGGTAAAGGTTT